GTATTCGTGGCTTGCTGGTGACTGGGACGGATTAAATGTTGCCGACTGTCACCTCAAAGGCGGTCAATGCACTTCAGATCCTCCATGCACTGCACCAGACGGTCTGCCATGACCTCCTCGCCCGCTCGCAGGGACATGCGAGGGTCGTAGTACTTCTTGTTGGGCTTCTCAGGCCCCTCCGGGTTGCCGATCTGGGCCTGCAGGTAGTCCTTGTTCTTCTTCTGGTACTGGTTCATGCCATCCCAGAAGGCCCACTGGGTGTCGGTGTCAATGTTCATCTTCACCACGCCCGCCTCAATGGCATAGCGGATGTCCTCCAGCGAGGAGCCCGAACCGCCGTGGAAGACAAAGGACATGGGCTTGTCGCTCTCGCAGCCCAGCTTCTCCTTCACGTACTTCTGAGTGTTGTGCAGGATCACCGGCTTCAGGTCCACGTTGCCCGGGGCATAAACCCCGTGCACGTTGCCGAAGGCAGCCGCCACCGTAAAGTTGCCGTTGGGCACGGAGGAGAGTTCCTCGTAGACCTGCCAAACCTCCTCAGGCTGCGTGTAGAGACGGGAAGAGTCCACATCCGTGTTGTCCACGCCATCCTCCTCGCCGCCAGTCACACCCAACTCCATTTCCAGCAGTATGTCGATCTTGGCCATTCGCTCCAAGTACTTCTTGCAAATGGCAATGTTCTCCTCCAAAGGCTCCTCCGACAGGTCCAGCATGTGGGACGAGAAGAGGGGCTCGCCATGCAGCTTGAAGTACTCCTCGTTTGCCTCCATGAGGCCATCGAACCATGGCAGCCAGGCCTTCTGGCAGTGGTCCGTGTGGAGGATCACAGGCACGCCGTAGAGCTTGGCCACCTGTCGCACGTGGAGCGCTGCCGCCACGGTGCCCGCAATGCAGGCAGCATCGTCGGTGTTGTCCGCAGCTTTGCCGGCAATGAACTGGCCACCGCCGCGGGACAAGGTCACCATGACGGTGCCCTTGGCCTTCTTTGCCGCCTCCATGCAGGCGTTGATGGAGCTGCTGCTCACGCAGTTCACGCCCGGGATGGCGAACTCGTTCTCCTTGGCGTAGTTCAGCAGGTCCACCAGCGCCTTGCCCGTGACCACTCCTGGCTTCACGGACGCCGGCATCTTTGCGAAGGCCTTCTCCGTCTTCTCTGCGGTGGCCGTGGCCTGGCGAACCACCTGGCGCCGCACGGCGCGCTTGCTCTGCGCGGTCGCCGCTGCCACGCCAGCCACGCCAAGCGCCAGCGCCCCTGCAGAGGCGCAGGAGGAGGAAGTGGCTGCCTCAGCCGGCTGCTGGCGCAGGTGCCGCACCTGCTGTTCCCGGCTCACCTGCGGTGCAGATGGAGCCAGGAAGGCCTGGGCAGCCGCATAGGCGCCCGCGCTGGCAAGAGCCACCGAGCAGGCCTTGGAAGGCATGGCACTTAGTATTCCTGGCAAGTGCGAAAAACTCAGGCTCTTGATTCAACATGCTTCCAGACTCACGCTCTCCGCTCGCTCTCGTGTCCAAGCCCATATGCAAGAACCAAATGCACTGAACAGAAACAAACAAGCTGCATCTGTGCAAGCGGAGCCTTCGGACCCCTCATGTCTCAGGCACTGGGTTGATGATGACCATGTATTTGTGAGAATTGTTCTTTCCACTCGGCCTTGGAACCCAATCCTCGTACGCAGAAACTGCTGCTACAATACGCACACCAGCTTAGATTAGCTACATGGAAAACTGGACTGACTCGGTGTGTGTGACACAGGTCCATTTCAGAAAACGGCCCCCCGCTTGTTTGCACAAATGCTTGAAGTTCAGTCAGACCGTTCTAATGTCGAGCCCTTGAGAAGCAATGGTTGCAGAATCACATGTCACATGTTCGCCAAAAGTAGCTCCGTTCAAAAGGGCCAACACGCGACTTGGCCAACACGTTCAAAAGCGACATCTGCTTTCAGCAGATTCTTTTTAGCACACGTATGTCTCTGGTCTGCATCGCATGCCAGTGAATAAGCCTAAGTCTGGAAAATTGGTGATCTTTGTGCACAACAAACCAAGCGGTATTCGTGGCTTGCTGGTGACTGGGACGGATTAAATGTTTCCGACTGTCACCTCAAAGACGGTCAATGCACTTCAGATCCTCCATGCACTGCACCAGACGGTCTGCCATGACCTCCTCGCCTGCTCGCAGGGACATGCGAGGGTCGTAGTACTTCTTGTTGGGCTTCTCAGGCCCCTCCGGGTTGCCGATCTGGGCCTGCAGGTAGTCCTTGTTCTTCTTCTGGTACTGGTTCATGCCATCCCAGAAGGCCCACTGGGTGTCGGTGTCAATGTTCATCTTCACCACGCCCGCCTCAATGGCATAGCGGATGTCCTCAAGCGAGGAGCCCGAACCGCCATGGAAGACAAAGGACATGGGCTTGTCGCTCTCGCAGCCCAGCTTCTCCTTCACGTACTTCTGAGTGTTGTGCAGGATCACCGGCTTCAGGTCCACGTTGCCCGGGGCATAAACCCCGTGCACGTTGCCGAAGGCAGCCGCCACTGTGAAGTTGCCGTTGGGCACGGAGGAGAGTTCCTCGTAGACCTGCCAAACCTCCTCAGGCTGTGTGTAGAGACGGGAAGAGTCCACATCCGTGTTGTCCACGCCATCCTCCTCGCCGCCAGTCACACCCAACTCCATCTCCAGCAGTATGTCGATCTTGGCCATTCGCTCCAAGTACTTCTTGCAAATGGCAATGTTCTCCTCCAAAGGCTCCTCCGACAGGTCGAGCATGTGGGACGAGAAGAGGGGCTCGCCATGCACCTTGAAGTACTCCTCGTTTGCCTCCATGAGGCCATCGAACCATGGCAGCCAGGCCTTCTGGCAGTGGTCTGTGTGCAGGATCACAGGCACGCCGTAGAGCTTGGCCACCTGTCGCACGTGGAGCGCTGCCGCCACGGTGCCCGCAATGCAGGCAGCATCGTCGGTGTTGTCCGCAGCCTTGCCGGCAATGAACTGGCCACCGCCGCGGGACAAGGTCACCATGACAGTGCCCTTGGCCTTCTTTGCCGCCTCCATGCAGGCGTTGATGGAGCTGGTGCTCACGCAGTTCACGCCCGGGATGGCGAACTTGTTCTCCTTGGCGTAGTTCAGCAGGTCCACCAGCGCCTTGCCCGTGACCACTCCTGGCTTCACGGACGCCGGCATCTTTGCGAAGGCCTTCTCCGTCTTCTCTGCGGTGGCCGTGGCCTGGCGAACCACCTGGCGCCGCACGGCGCGCTTGCTCTGCGCGGTCGCCGCTGCCACCCCAGCCACGCCAAGCGCCAGCGCCCCTGCAGAGGCGCAGGAGGAGGAAGTGGCTGCCTCAGCCGGCTGCTGGCGCAGGTGTCGCACCTGCTGTTCCCGGCTCACCTGCGGTGCAGATGGAGCCAGGAAGGCCTGGGCAGCCGCATAGGCGCCCGCGCTGGCAAGAGCCACCGAGCAGGCCTTGGAAGGCATGGCACGTAGTATTCCTGGCAAGTGCGAAAAACTCAGGCTCTTGATCCAAAATGCTTCCGGACTCATGCTCTCCCCTTGCTCAGGTCCAAACTCCACAAGCGAACAAACTGCATCAGCGGCAAACCCAGCCTGCGGGGATGTCTCAAGGTTGGTGGCATCCGTGATCATTCTCGCCATCTTATCACCGCATGTGAAGCTCTGGGCAACCTAGCAGCAAGAATGCTTGAGGCAGGGGTGTTGGAGAAATTGCACCCTTGGCCCTGTGTTGTTCCAAAAATCGTTTGCCTCTGCAAAAAACGTGAAACACGGGCAAACAGTTCTACAGCTCGGTTGTCTGCCGCAAGGAACGTGACGCACAAACAAACAGTTCGAAAGCTCATGTTGCCTCCTGCAAGGAACGTGAAACAGAGGCAAATTGCCGTGGAAATACTGACTGTGGATTCACCCAAGAAGCCCTGGAATGATGATTCCCCTGCAAACGCTGTGGATGGACGAAATCTTGCACCACCTAACACACCCTGGAATGATGATTCCCCCTGCAAATGCCAACAAGAAATGGTTTGCCATGGTTTCAAAGTGGTGCAGGATTTCGTCCATCCACAGTATCAACAAACAATGGTTTCCCATAGTTTCAAAGCGGTGCGTCCATCCACAGCATGGCATGCGTGTTGGAGGGTCGCCCTACAGCAAACCAAGAGGGACAAGCCAACGTGTGGGATTTGTCTTGGGTCCAAATGGGTGTGGGAACCCAAAAGAAGAACCGTTGCCTAAAATAGGTTGCCCTGATAAATGGAAAATAGAAGAAAGTATTACCAAGCTTTGGATAAATCAAAGATTTAATTGAAATTGGTGTTGATATTTGATCCTGGCTCCTAAATAATTACCCCCCATCCCCTTTTGACGCCTATTTGACCCACCCTTCCCAACTTCAGCCAATCCTGGAAGCCCACCCAGGAAGCTGTAAACATACTGTGGATGGACGAAATCCATTTCGCAACCTACGAAACCCCGGGATGATTCGATTTTCCTGTAATTTCCAACAAACAATGGTTTCATGGATGTCGTCCATGCACACGTCGTCCCTTGAGAAATCGGAAATCCAAATCCACGGCTGTCTTCAAACAGAACCCAAATGCTAGCCTCCAACAAGATATCTGTGTCAACCAAAAAACTTGCTTGTCCGCTAGTTCGTATTGGACCTCCAGCATGTGTCTCTAGGTATTCTAGTCACTTGTCACGTCTCTAGAGACAAATGACTTCAAATGCCAACTAACTTGTCAACCAACCTACCCCCAAGCGGTGGCTTCCTTTTGGTCTGCTGAAACAAGTAATCCTTTCTTATGGCCATCTTGTACCATTGCAAAGTGGCGTCTGCTATCAAAAGATTCCTTTTGGCACGCTTGCGTATGTCTGTGGTCTGCATCGCATGCCAGCGAATAAGCCTAAGTCTGGAAAATTGATGATCTGTGTGCACAACAAACCAAACGGTATTCGTGGCTTGCTGGTGACTGGGACGGATTGAATGTTGCCGACTGTCACCTCAAAGGCGGTCAATGCACTTCAGATCCTCCATGCACTGCACCAGACGGTCTGCCATGACCTCCTCGCCCGCTCGCAGGGACATGCGAGGGTCGTAGTACTTCTTGTTGGGCTTCTCAGGCCCCTCCGGGTTGCCGATCTGGGCCTGCAGGTAGTCCTTGTTCTTCTTCTGGTACTGGTTCATGCCATCCCAGAAGGCCCACTGGGTGTCGGTGTCAATGTTCATCTTCACCACGCCCGCCTCAATGGCATAGCGGATGTCCTCAAGCGAGGAGCCCGAACCGCCATGGAAGACAAAGGACATGGGCTTGTCGCTCTCGCAGCCCAGCTTCTCCTTCACGTACTTCTGAGTGTTGTGCAGGATCACCGGCTTCAGGTCCACGTTGCCCGGGGCATAAACCCCGTGCACGTTGCCGAAGGCAGCCGCCACTGTGAAGTTGCCGTTGGGCACGGAGGAGAGTTCCTCGTAGACCTGCCAAACCTCCTCAGGCTGCGTGTAGAGACGGGAAGAGTCCACATCCGTGTTGTCCACGCCATCCTCCTCGCCGCCAGTCACACCCAACTCCATCTCCAGCAGTATGTCGATCTTGGCCATTCGCTCCAAGTACTTCTTGCAAATGGCAATGTTCTCCTCCAAAGGCTCCTCCGACAGGTCCAGCATGTGGGACGAGAAGAGGGGCTCGCCGTGCAGCTTGAAGTACTCCTCGTTTGCCTCCATGAGGCCATCGAACCATGGCAGCCAGGCCTTCTGGCAGTGGTCTGTGTGGAGGATCACAGGCACGCCGTAGAGCTTGGCCACCTGTCGCACGTGGAGCGCTGCCGCCACAGTGCCCGCAATGCAGGCAGCATCGTCGGTGTTGTCCGCAGCCTTGCCGGCAATGAACTGGCCGCCGCCACGAGACAAGGTCACCATGACGGTGCCCTTGGCCTTCTTTGCCGCCTCCATGCAGGCGTTGATGGAGCTGGTGCTCACGCAGTTCACGCCCGGGATGGCGAACTCGTTCTCCTTGGCGTAGTTCAGCAGGTCCACCAGCGCCTTGCCCGTGACCACTCCTGGCTTCACGGACGCCGGCATCTTTGCGAAGGCCTTCTCCGTCTTCTCTGCGGTGGCCGTGGCCTGGCGAACTACCTGGCGCCGCACGGTGCGCTTGCTCTGCGCGGTCGCCGCTGCCACGCCAGCCACGCCAAGCGCCAGCGCCCCTGCAGAGGCGCAGGAGGAGGAAGTGGCTGCCTCAGCCGGCTGCTGGCGCAGGTGCCGCACCTGCTGTTCCCGGCTCACCTGCGGTGCAGATGGAGTCAGGAAGGCCTGGGCAGCCGCATAGGCGCCAGCGCTGGCAAGAGCCACCGAGCAGGCCTTGGACGGCATGGCACTTAGTATTCCTGGCAGGTACGCAAAACTCGGGCTCTTAATCCAAAATTCTGCTTTGCAGGGCCACATCCAAGCACTGAACACAAACAACAAAACCATGCGATTCATCAGCTGCATGCCCCGCCTTCGGACCACGAAGGTCTCAACAGGCTTGACAGCAAGCGCCATGGTCTCCATCTTGTTCCTCACAATTGGCTTTGAAAGCCGAAATGCTGCGGCGCGCGCCAGCTTGGATTGTGGACTTGGTAAATTGACTCGATGTGTGAGGGAGACAGGTTCATTCCATAGTGATGGCCCAGGTAGGCAATGCAAATGAGTCAACTCCTAGTCCACTACCTCAAGCAGGTGCTCAGTGCTGATGACTGGTCTAGCGAAAATATTGCCTGTTTGCTCATATATAGCCTGATCGCCACATGGCGACTTGGCCCCTCAGGCATCACGCTCTGACCTAAAACTGCCAACTTCTAAAACGTGCAACCGCTAACATCAATGCGTCTCGTTTTTTCTTCTTGACAGATTTGGCGACGAGTGTCACGGCTGGCATATTTTGCGAACCAGGACTTGCCATGGTGTGAAACCATGGGACGGTGAGACAGTGAAACTAGCCTGAAGGCACAAGTGGGGGTGAATGTCATGAGGATCTCTTTCGTGGACATCAAAGTTCGAGACAAAAAATTGTACCCCAACCACGTTTTTGAGGTCGCACTCCATCGTGAAAATGCATGGGCACCTCTGAATTCACGTCTCTTTCTAGGGGTAGCTTCCCCATTCTTTCCAGGGAACCGAATCTTTCTAGAACACCACCACAAACCCTGAGGAAATGGCGATCGGCTTTTGAAAAGAACGATGGCTGAAAAGAATGGAATCGGAATCAACCCCTAGAATCAAGGGCAACCCCGGTCAGTGGTGGGTGAAAGGAAAACACCTAGTCCTCCCATGGATTTGACCCTACGTCAACCCCTTTCAGTGGAAGGTGAGAAACAACTGGGGGGAACAAGAGAACCTTTTGCTGACTTGCTGAATCTTTGCTCTGCTTGGCCCTGCGAATGAATCAAACCTTTCAGCCGAGTCCCACCAAGAGGCAGATCGCGTCTAAGGCGCCCGCCCACGTCACCCGAGGGTCGCTGGGGTGACCCACACCACCACCCCCATGGCCAGGAACAGCACCTTCCGCAGTGCTTTCCGTGCTAGATGCCAATGCCCCAAACTTGTACCCTCCCACCAACTAACATGGAAGTGCAAAAAGGCCCATTCCAAGAGGAAGGTTGTCGTTCTACAGGGGTCTGTGCACTTCCATGTCAGCTGGTGGGAGGGTATGTGTTTTGCAGGGTACCCCAAAAAAATGACATTGGCGTCAAGGGAGACGCAAAAGAGAAACCAACAATTCCCTTTGGGGATACCCGCAGCTTGACCCTCCGAGCTTCTCTTGGATCGCAACCTTCGCGCGTGCACCGTGGGAGTGCGAGCTTCGCACCGCCCCGCACACCTGATTCCTTTCACACCTCGAGAGCCTTTATAGCATAAGTTTACATATATATATATATAGGGTGAACGATGACCTGGCCACACCTGCCACACAAATTGCAAGCTTTCATCTGAGCCAATTCGCTACAAGGCCCCAAGAGGGCCTTGCTCTGTGGATTTTCAAGGGAGGGGCTAAATTCATGGACGCCTCAAGGAGCGCAAGAAGTTGTGGGATGACAAGCAGTCGTGACAAGTTCAACTTACACATGCGCCTAGTGTCTTCCCAGTTCCCAAATCACCTCTGAGCCCACCCAAAAATAACAGGCTCTACAAAAGCACACCCACTTGTGAGTCGCAATCAAAACCCGGTATTAAAATGCTCTACCCAGAACCATGCTTCAAGAATTAAGAAGCCAGAATTCCGCAGCTATTTCTGGCTGGGACTGGCCCTTACAAACCTTCATCAATCCCCGGGTTTTGAGCACGTGGCTTACTTGCCGGTATAAGCTGACAGACCAAGGCCGGCACCGCACCGCACAGAGGCAGGCCAATGGCAACCTGGGAGAAACCAGCGTGGCGACATTTTTGCGACTTGCTGGTGGGAGAAGCAGGGAATGAGAAATGGGCAAAGAGATGAATCATGTGAACCCGCCTAATCCTTACCTATCTTGTGGCGAGCTGATCCTCCATATCCTACCTTCATCATCTGGTCCCATTCTTATCAGTCATGCTGTTGGATTATAGATCCAGATGGGACAGATAAGAGACAGGACATCCCTTCCTACGTCAGGAGCTGAGATAAAGGTCTTCTAAAGATAGGAAATAGATAGGAAAGGAGGGAGTGAAAGAAGAGAACGAACGGATGGAGAGAGAATGGGAGTGGAGAAGACAGGAGATTGTGAGCCATTATCTTTCTCTCTCATCATATCCACTCCACACACTTCCTCATCCCTTACCATCTCTAACTCTCGCCTATGAAAGACGATAAAGAGACAGATAAGGGTTGGAAGGAATGGAGTTCATATCTTTCCCACTCTCCATTCCCAATCCTTCATTCCTTTCACCTTTCTAAACCTCCGGAATCTCTGAGAGATAGGAGGAGGAAAGGAAAGGAATAGGAATCCAGAGACATTTCCATTTCATTCACAGCAAAACCCAATATTCATATGCTGAAGGTCGAGAGAAGCGAGAGGTGGGTCTCTGGGAAATAGGTGCCATTCCATCAGAAATGTAAAGATTAATAATAAAAGAAGAAGTCAAGAAGACTAAGGTAAAAACCCGAATACTAGATTTATGAGTGGGTTTACGATGGAAAGGATTTTATGTCTGGATTTGTATTTTAGTTTTCATTCCACATCTCTACCTCTCTGCAACGGCTTTCATTCCTTGGGAATTGGAATGAACCGGAAGGGGATTCCCCAAAAGGAAACCATCCAACTGGATGGTTTATAAGGGTCATGCCCTCATTCCTTGCTGAGCACCAGCAAGTTTTGCCATTTGCAAGTTGCCCGACCTTTCTCGTCAAGGTTAAAACCGGTGTCTGCCCCACATGCCAAAGAATCAAGGCCGGATATGGCCGGATATCCGCGAATTCATTTTTGGCGCGACGCCTCTTGCTGGTGCGATAAGCAGGGAATGAGAAATGGAATGAACCGGAAGGGGATTCCCGAGTAAAGGAAACCAAATCGGGGATGGATTTTCTCGGGGTCCTTCCATTTCTCATTCCGTGCATCTCTCGCACCAGCAAGGACTTTGGTTGCTCGATCTCTCAGCCCTCTAATTTGGTGGCTATTGGTGGTTTGGTGGGTGCCTTCCCGTGTAATGGCTCTCTTACAAAAGCCAGGGACCGGTTCAAATCCCAAACCGCCAAACCAAACCAACTTCTACGCGTGTTCGGGCGCGGGCGGCGGCGCTCCGCTCCCAGACGTGGAGCTTCATCTCCGGCTTCGACTGCAGCTCCGGAAGCTCGTCGGGCCTGACCTCAAAGGGATTCATGCAGCCCACTCCACGTTGCAAACGCCATGGAACCCCAACAAAAACACCAAAACCTCAACCAGGATTTCTTCAAGAGTCACCAGAAAGCAACCTCAGCTAGGAGTCAACTTACATTCCTCTCCATGTTGTCGTGGAACCCGCAAACCACAAAGCCCAAAAGCCTCAAATTTTGGATCCCCGGGCTCCGATTTTCGTTGGCCCGTGGCAGCTGGCCCAACTTGGGGCCGTTCTGACTTCGCCATCGGCATCGAGGTCTCGGGCTCAGAAGTTCTGAGCGCCGGGCACGGACCAAATTCCTCTTGAGCCATCGCCAGAAGGAGCGTACCTCAACATCATTTGCGGAGAGGTGGGTCGACCTCATGATGGAAATCCCATGATGGAAAAGCCGCCCAAACCAGCATGGGTGTCTGGAAAGCCATTGAAACCACGAAAACGAAACAGGGGGGTGTCCTCAAAAAACAACACAACACAACACAACACAACACAACACAACACACGCACATGCACACGCACACGCACACGCACACGCGCACGCACACGCACACCCACACCCACACCCACACCCACACCCACACCCACACCCACACCCACACACACACACTTCTGGTGTCCATTTTACCCGCCTATACAAAAATAAGAGAGAGAGAGAGAGAGAGAGAGAGAGAGAGAGAGAGAGAGAGAGAGAGAGAGCGAGCGCGAGAGAGCGAGAGCGAGAGCGAGAGCGAGAGCGAGAGCGAGAGCGAGAGCGAGAGCGAGAGCGAGAGCGAGAGCGAGGGGAGGGAGGGAGGGAGAGCGAGACAGCGAGGGGAGGGAGGGAGGGAGGGAGGGAGGGAGGGAGGGAGGGAGGGAGGCTGTTCCCTTGTTACCCCCTCTGCCACATGTGGTTCTGGCTCCGCGCACTCCCAGGACGAGCAGCAGCAGGCCCAAGGAGATGCACACAATGGCAGCGACCTTGGGTAAGAACCTGGGACGAGGCGTTCGCTTTCCCCTTCACAAGAAAGATTGGGTCTCAAATAGGTGAGGTTCAAGGGAAGAAATATCCACTAAGATGTTCAACTTTGCAGGTTCTAACCATGGTTATAACACCCACAACTGGCTATCTGGCGCTAACTTATAACCAGGGAGACCATGGATTCAAAGTGAAACGGTCGGTGCATAGGCAGCACATGGGAGACATCTGTGTCAGAAGACCTCTTTCTCTGGGCTCAGGGCGATTCGCACCAGGCGCTACTTTGGCACCTTGCCCACCCGTCAGACTTTTGTCGGCTGGGAAAAAGGGTTCGCCTTGGTAAATGGAACCAAAGACGAAGACCTGCGGATTGCCCTTCTTTAATTTTGAGCAGCAGTTGCTGGTGCGATAAGCAGGGAATGAGGGAACGAACCGGATTCCCCGAAAGGAAACCACAAGTTGGATGGTGAACAAGGGTCATTCCCTCATTCCCTGCTGAGCAGCAAGTAGCAAAGGAACTGGCGTGATTTCGTAAGGGTCAAACGTGCAGACGCTGCCATCGCAGGAAGAGCAGTACTTGCAGTCGCCGCGGGGGTTGTAAGCGCCGTTGCTCATGATGCACCTAGCTTTTGCAAATAGCGAGGCCGCAAGCTACTCGTGCGCCCGTTTCACCCAACGTTTGGCTCTACCAACATGGTTAACTTCTAAGTCTAACATGGTGAATTATAAAGGTTTGTAACCACAAACCCCATGAAACCAGGCAGGACCACCTTCCAAAAATGGGAGAAATCGAAGAAGTCAGCTCTTGGCAAGGCACTCCAAAGTGGCTTGAGTCGGCATCTCCTGTACGGAATAGACGTACTCATTCTCGCCGCTCCTTTCGAGTCGGCGCGGTCGCTTTTCGCACGACTCAGCGGCCCAAGCGAACCCTATCGAGGGGCTCTGATCGAGGGGTCGGATCGAACCCTGGGAAAACTTAGGTTCGATAGGCAAGGAATGAGGGAATGCCCCCCTATGAACCATCCAACTGGTGGTTTCCTTTAAACGGATCCCTGGGTTCTTGCCCAAAGCCCGGGCTCGGTCACTCCGTACTGAGCACCAGCAAGGGTAGAAAGTTGGTCCTGGCCAACCAACTTGAGCTAGGTTATGACCATTACAAGCCTTTTTTTTTGTCCCCAAAGGGCCGGCACGGCCCAAAGTCCTGCATTTGAACTGGTCGCAGAGGCACTGCGCGATCGCAGCCGGGAGCGCCAGCCCGAGCGCAAGAGTTCGGAGCATGGCGAAAGACCATGCCACCGCGGCGAATTTGGAAGAATTTGGAACCCTGGAACCCTTTTACTGCATCATGATTAGAGTTAGGCCCAGTTATAGAATGCATATTCTATTGTTTGCTTCACTTCAAGTCACTGGTATGTAGAATGTATCCATTATTGTCTACCCCATGTGCTGTTGAGATCCAAAGCCTGAAAAGCCTAAGCCAACCACTGGGTTAAAGTTGGAAACCTGTTGGAAAGCAATTGGTCAATGTGTTTCGTGACTGCTTGAGACATCTTGAGACGATGACTGCATGTGAGCTTCTGGGTGAGCTCTGTGCTTCGGTCTTGGACCAGAAAACGCCCCACACACACACAGACACGAAAAAATCATCTCTCTGCCAATCAAAGCCTTAGCAAAAGGCGGTTGTAGCAGGCTGAAGTCGGCATTTTTGTGTGCAACAGCGTGCATGTCTGTCAAGCCTCTCAGAATTCGTGGCTGATCTTGGAGAAGGCAAACGCGGCCCCAACCTGAACGTTTCAGAGATGCGAACTTACTCAGCAGTCTTGGCATCACCTTCCATTTGCTTTAAGTGTATTGGCAAAAATAAAATAATTCCAGTCGTGACGGATTCCCTTTAAAACCAGCAGGGGAAAAAAAAAATGTTCTTAAGCAAATGGAAGTCACCCAGCTAACATGGACTAGAAGGAAGGCTGCGGCGACGCAGAGGAGGTTAAACGCGAAGTGCCCGGCGATGGCGATGAAGGAGTACCTGGAGGTCATAGAAGCTGAAAGTGAGTCACGGGCTCAAAACCCGGTATTAAAATGGTCGATCCCCAGAACCATGCTTCAAGAATTAAGAAGGCGGATGTCCGCAGCTATTTATGGTTGGGATTGTCCCTATAACCTTCATCTACCCGGGTTTTGATTGTGGCTCAAGTGACGTGCGTCCACGAAGCTGCAATTGGATGGGCGTGACATTCCTGGGGGGTGGCGGTGCATTAAACTTAGTCGAACACTGCAAATGCACATCCTAAAAAGTGGCCTGTTTTGCCAGAGCTTACTTGTGCAGACTGTTTGCTGCGGCAATGGTGCACCTGATTCCACCCAGGAAGGTGGGGCAATGGCCAAATGCTGCAGCCCCTGTTTCTAAGAAAAATGTGATCACAAGTCAAAAGCATTGGCATCTGCCTTTATCCTTGATCGCGCTATCTTGCTTGCTACACCGGAGATCCGTTAGTAAGGGGAAACTGTGGTATTAGTCCTGCATATCAATATACGCTAGCTAAACTATCATGCGCGGGTTGTTGAATAGACACCTCAGTGCACCTGCTTGGGACAATTAGTGCTAACCCCAGATCTGAGTGGAACCCCGGTTGATTTTTGCTAGATGGGGGTGTGTCCCCTTGTAGGAATATTCAATTTGGTGGGGCCTACTTAGATTCACTACACAAAGAGGCGTGTCTTTCAGGGGTTCCCGAAAAATAGTGAAAGGGGGCATCAAGAAAGCCACGGCCAGATATCGCTGTTGGAGTTTTGCTGCAGATGCCTCTTCGAGGGAGCATCGCTTCATGCTACATGGTTCGAATCTGGCAGCATACACACACACACACACACCTCACCCCTTACAGCGGCTTCAGCCACGGACCATGCCACAATGACCTATGCTCTTGACTTAAGTTTGTTTGGAGGCTGCCTTCTTAAGGGTTGTTGTTTCTGTTTTTTTTTCCGGGAAATCAAAGTTGGAAACCAAGCCCCCAATTTGGCAGCCCCCCTATCCCTACTTGGGGGCTCGCCATACCCATTCCGGGCACTTAAATCCATCACTGCGGTACTTCATGACCTCGGCCACTGGGTCCTGAGGTCGCGCCGGTTTTTTTTGCGCCCCCAAGGGCCGATGCCCCTCCGTTGGAAAGCGAAAGACAGGTTCCTTCGCTCTGGGTCCTATTCCCCACATAAACCGCCATTTGGGGTGAATTCGGTCGTGTGAGGTCGTTACAATTCCACGCAGTTCGTTTTCCAACCCCACAGCACATGTTCTTTGTCTCCCGGTGCTCCAAAAGGCATGGGCTGAAACATGCCTCATACGGGGAAGCTCATGAGCGGATTCCTTTCGGCGGCCCCAAACCATCCTTTGAAGGGAAACGGGAAACGCCCCAAAAAAAAGAAGGGGCCATAGAGAAAGCCAACGGCTCTCGCTCCCCTGGCCTGCATCCAGTAGAAGAAGAGCGGATGGTTCGCCTTGATGTTGTAGGCTGCCTCTTCAGGCGCTTCAGCAAAGCTTTCCGCGCGAATAGATTCGGTAGATTCCTCACTTACCTTCAGCCCCAACATGTGGTGTGTTTCCTTCTCAAGCATCATTCGACCCTTTCTGGCTATGATAAGCTATGATCATTGGGCGTGATGCTATGTCTATTGAGTGATCGAGCTCGTTTTCTTAAGAGACATACCAACTTGTTTGGATGGTTTGAATGGGAAACCAAAGGAACACGGAAAACCCGTTGGGGGTCCAAATCCCCCACGTTGACGACGGACACACTTCAGACTGCTTCACTGGCGACACGTTGCGACACGTTGTGACCGTGACCTCGGCTTGCTGCACTGCCAGCCGGAAGAAGGGCCGCTGGTCCTCGCCTATGCGCATGGCTTGCTATGGCGGATGGCGGATGGAAGGAAGACGTGTGGAAACCGAAACCATGTGATGTCGCAATCAACACCCGAGTATTAAAATCGCCTGAACCAATGCAAAGAACCACAAAGGCGGAGATCCGCACCCAATTCTGCCCTATGTTACCCTCCAATTACCCGGGTTTTGATTGTGACTCATGTCTGCCATTGTCAAGATTCCGCGGGTTTGGCCTATGGTCATGGTTCCCTCAGTACTGTGGATGGAGGAATCCATTTCGCACCAAAGAAACCCTGGTGTTTACCAAGCACGATAGCAAACAAAGTGCGATTCTGGATTTGGTTTGGCGCTGGACTTGCAATACTGTGGATGGACGAATTCCATTTCGCACCACTTAAAAGACCATGGTTGAAACCACAACGTTTGTTGGTATTTACAGGGGACTCATGCCAGGCCGGGGTTTCTTAAAGGGTGCAGGATTTCGTCCATCCACAGTATGCGCATTCATAGAAATCGCAATGCAATGGTTGTTCAGAGGCCAAGGTGGAGAACCAATGCACAGTGGGTGTTTCTCAAAGGGGCCCCTTCGGGTTTGATGTTCCTTTTGGTTTGTGTGGATATGGGTTTGTAGAATGGGGAACCCCACGCACTGGCTAGTTTCCTGTTGGCTGTTGGTTGGGGTTTGCTTAGGGTTTGTGTAGCATACTCTTTGGTGGCTTAAGGATGGTTTGGTGCAGGTTTACGGTAGGTTTAGGGTTGGTTGAGGGTGGGTTTAGGGCTGGTTTAGGGTTGGTGTATCGCTAGTTTAGCGAGGGTGTAGGGTTGGTTTAAAGTTGCTTTAGGGATGGTTTAGTGGTTTAGGGTCGGCTTCGGTTGGGTTTAAGCCGCTGATTTTGGGAGGTTTAGGGATTGCGTAGTGCTGGTTTGCTATGGTTTAAGGGTTGGTTTAGGATTGGTTTAGGGCTGGTTTAGGTTCGGCTTTGTCTAGAGTTGGTTGGTTTAGTGGTGGTTTAAGGTGGGTGTAGTGTTGTTTTCGGGCGGGCTTAGGGTTTGCATACGGTTTGCTTAGGGTTTGTTTAGGGTTCATGTTTGGTGGTTTTGGGAATTGTTTACTTGCATGTTACCGGTTTAGGGTGGGTTACAGCCCCTATCCTGCCATGATGCTACTGTGGGTTGCTGGTGATGCTGGGTGGAAAGCCGACGCTCCAAAAAAGCCAACTGACCGACGACGCGACCCGGCCAGCCAAACTCAGGAAGAACTATGGACTCTCAATCTTCTGAACATAGTCCCTATGCGAATCCTATAAGGATATGCATAACTTCCGTATTGCGTTGATTGCCAGAGCCAGTGGCTCGGTTCAAAAGAGGGCAAACCTCAAATGGCGCCGTTTGGGAAAAAGCTTTGAAGAACTGGCACCAGAGCTTGGTTCTCCTTTCCTCAGTCCAGTCGATTCCTCTTGATTCCTGTAGACAAACAATCTTCTGAGAGCAGCACGCATGAGCCGCAGCCCAGAGCGTGCCTTGGGGTTGTCGGACCTCGGTGCGCAATCCACTTCTGTGGCGCACCACTGGCCGATTGCGAAAACCATTTCGCACCACCCTACTAAGAAACCCTGTGAAATGGATTTCGCAACCATCCACAGTACGATTGATTCCAACTCATTGAAAAGAAGCCCCCCAGCACCAACCACAGGCGTGCCTTAAAATAGAAGGGTTCGTTCCCGAAACTAGTTGCGGGTCTTGGCCCCGATTGAGCTGCTCCAGAGGTATGCTGGTGAAGCGGCTCGCACTTCGGTTCTGGGGAGCTTGTGGGATTGAGTCCCACCAGAGTGCGCTACAGGACCGGATCTTCATCCAAGTTTTGGAGATGGCACTCCTGCCACCACTCAACCAATGATACCTGTCCCCTTTTCCAGTTGACTCGCAGATTGTCCCATACCCAACAACATGGAAGTGCATCTCCCAGCCCACCCAGAAGAGAAAACGACTTCCATGTCGCTGTGTTTTCTATAGGCCTACCGAGAACAGAACAAGTAAGCCAGGGGTGCAACAAACCACCCGGATGACCGTGCCATGAGGTAAGTGGTGTCCTCAATAAGGTCTTTAAGTGGGGCTTAAGTTATGCAACCCGCTACAAACCACACCCACCTGGTTTGCCTTTTGGTTTCCCTTTGAAACCACAAACACGGGGGAGTACCCTCAAAAGAAGGACACGCCCACATTCTAGAATAGGCCGTACTTGGGTGTTCACCCAACTTGGCAAGTAGGCTATAACCACGGTCACACGGGGACGATCACCCCAGTTCGCCCAGTTTTTGACCATGGTTGCAACCTACTTGCAACCTACCTGACTTTTGTTGAAGACCCTAGTAGGCCTCTGGGTTACTTGACAGTGGGTCCAAAATCGATACCAAAATGGAACCCTAATAAATGGAAACATGGACTAAAACCTGCCGTCCATATCCTGGTGGTTTGATTTTGACCCATACCCACCTGGGCCCATGGCTCGCCGCAGCGGAAGTCGGCGGTGCTCCCACTGCAGCAGTTCACCCCGACCTGGGAGTGGGCGTGAGGGGAGCATGGGAGTGAGCTACTCTGGATGGTTGCGACGTCTACGAGTCTCACCACCGAAATGAAATTATTTCTGGAAACCATAACATTGTCTGGTGTTTACAGTCGAATCCAATCATTCAGGTGCAGGATAGGTGAGAGTCTGGGGGTGATCCCTTTTCCCTTCGTGTTCAGCCATGCTTTCCGAAGAACCGCTTCCAGACGGCTTTTGCAGGCTCCTGAAAGAAGGATCCGTGAGAAGGGGGAAGCGACTTTCCGTGAATATCTGGAATGAAGGATTGATGTGCCAAGGTGAACCTTGAACCATTTGTCAAGCACCATTCACAAACCAAATGCTCATCTACAGCTCGAGCTCAGGCTGCACTGATGAAAGCGCACATGTGTTCGAAGTCAAACAGTGGAGCGTTGTGCAATCCACACATTGACACATGAGCCACAATCAAAACCTGGTATTAAAATGGTCTACCAAGAGCCATGTAAAGGATTAAGAAGGCGGCCGCAGCTATTTCTGGTTGGGATTGTCCCTTACTAACCTTCATCTACCCGGGTTTTGATTGTGGCTCACGTGGTGATGAATTTCAATAGGGAACCCTCAGAAGTGCCACCGGTGGACCACCGGTGTTTTTTTCCCGATGGTGTCCTTACCATCTCGGCCTTAAGCAAGCTGGTCCGCAGCTGAGGCCCCGGCTGCCCAGAAGTCATAAGAAGCCAACGGCTCCTCAACCGCAACCCCCTCAAAACGGGGCACACCCACTTCAACTTGCTGGTGCGATAGGTAGGGAACGAGGGAATGGAACCGGATGGTTTATAGGGGGTACCTGAGGATTCTCTTAAAGCAAACCGGACTGCTTATAGGAACCCATAGCAGACCTGAACCGGATGGTTTTTCTCAGGGGTTGTGTCCATTTCTCGCCTGTCCAAAGACGATGGGCGCCACGCAGTACCTGGCACTGGAGGCCGGTCCGGGCCAGTTGGGGCAGTTGGGGCAGTTGGGCTGAGGCAACTCCTGCGAACTACTTGGGTCAAAAGTAGTCGGTAACCCCAAAAGGGGCTTGCCCTGCCTGGTACATGAAAACAGAAACTAACACCTGCGCTCCGCCGAAAAAATAAAAGAATGAAGTGACCTATGCCCAAATTTGGAGGGAAACCAACAACTCCTCGCGCAACCCATACGACCCAAGCGCGCCGATCCAGGTTCTGGAAGGCGCGACTCTTGCTGGTGTCAAGCCTCGCCAAGCGGGGGCCAGGGCGTCCAAGCGGAGGAAGAAAAAGGCAAGGAGGGCGTCTGCTTGTTTGACAGAAGTCACTGGATGTCCGAGTTTCCTGGTGGTGTCCATTGAAACCACCGCTTTGGGAGGTTCCCTGAAAAGGGCAACAGGAAACCACCACCAAATACATTCGACCCAGGCAGTCAAAAGAAAAATCGCCGCCCGAGAGGCGACTGATCGAGGTCTGACGCGCCAGACGCTGAGACTTCCACCCGGTGCCATCCTCGAAATACACGCGGCCCGCATCCATGAGCTGCTGCCCCTTCTCGCGGGCAGGGTTCACCTCGAGCCAAAAGCTATCACGTGGAAAGCCTCGGACCCTGGTGCCGGAAATTGTCAAAACAACACGCACCCGTGGACCCTGGTGCGGCCCTCTGCTGGCTTTGAAAGAGGATACCAAGGAGGGCACGAATTTTGACCACCCATGTCAAACGTGGAGAACAGTTGAAGAAGAGCTTTGACATCACAACTGGCGCAACGCCAAGATCGCTGCTGCCGGGTAGGTGTTGATGTTCTCAATGTCGTAGTAGGGCTGCAAGTTGTACCAGAAGTTCATGTCCCCAAGGACCTTTGGATGCGTCTCCAAAATATGCATCCCCTTTTGGTATGGCTTGGTTTGAAAGGGAAACCAACCAACTTGAGGCAGGGGTCCCGTTCTTTGACTAGACTCAAACCCGGTGGTTCATTCGGTTTAAGTCTATGGTAGTCCCCTGACTGGAGGCAGTTTTAGATTTTAAGCTGTGGAAGGACGTAAATACCAACCACCAATGGAGTCCCATAGTTTCTTGGGTGGGGCGAAATGGATTTCGTCCATCCAGAGTATGACTATGTATCCACGCTTCGGGCTAGGGCTCTTGCTGCTGCAAGGATGGTGGCAATCCCAATGGCAAGGCATGCGAAGGTGTACCTGTGCCAAGGGATGTTCAACCCACTTTGCAGATGTCACAACCTTGATATTTTTACGGGTGTTTCTCGACATGGTGGGAAACGCCACCTTTTGGTAGGGAAGCCAAAAGGAAACCCAAGGCTTGCTATTTGAGAAACACCCATATGGGTTTTGGTTGTTTCGGGTTCCATTTTTCCGGTGGCGTTTTTTGGGGAAACCAACACGAAACCAAAAAAATAGGGTCCAATTCCCCATTTGGACACACACACACACACCATATGTCAAAAGGGGTCGTTTCACTTATACCCATGGTCACCTGACAAATAGTGCCCAGCAAAATGCATCAGCCCCCTGAGCTAATTTCACCCGTCAAGCTTGCACCATCAATGACTTGAAGCCATACGTGGAAAACCCAGCCTTTAGGCACCCAAAAAAGGGGGTCATTTACAAGCTTTGGCACTCTGACTAGAACTTGTTCGAATCCATGCTCTCACTGACCTCATTACTTTGCCGTACCATCAAAGCCACCCAAGTGGTAGGGTAAAGGTAAACAACCTGTCGAAGTTGAACGCCCCGAGACAGTTAAACATCGGCTTCCCTCTAGTTGGTGGCTTGGATTGGTGGTTTCAAGAAGGGGTGGTTTCCCACGCCCTCTCGACCACGCCCCGGGCGCACCAGGTGGGGTCGCGGTCTCTGGACTTGGTGCGGTAGGCCAGGGCACCTCGCTGTTCTTCTCGGGCGAAGCTCGGGTGATGGTGGGTCAAAACCCGTACCCCCAGTGAACATCCCAATCCCCACTAAAATAGGTTTTAAAATGGGTGGTGCACCTATCCCAAAATGGGATCCATGGCCAGGTGAGTCATCAAAACCACTCGGTAGCCCCAAAGTGGCCGATCCCCAGCACCCCGCAAAGGAATTAGCAGGCCGGCGATCCGCACCCATTTGAGTCACAGGCTCAAAGCCCGGTTTAAAAAAAAAAAAAAAACATGGTCGTAATCCCAGAACCATGCTTTTTCTTCTTAAAGAAGGCTTTTTCCGCGGCCATGTATGGCCAGGGGATCTTCCCTTCCTAACCTACCCGGGGTCTTGGCTCAGGTCCCAGGTGGCCTTCAGGAAGCTCAAAAGCATCTGCCGACAAACTGAGTACGACCACTTTCCTCAGAATTTTGGCTGGAATTATAAGACCCCAGCAAAAAACCATGTGTTTTTTTTGCCTGGGTAGTGGAAAACAAAGGGAACCCCAAAAAAGCAAAACACATGAAAGGGGGAACTAGTGCTGGGGAAGAAACGTGATCCGGCTGTTAGGGGAAAATTAGCTCAACAGAACCATCACTCCCAAATCACAAAGTTCAAATCTCGACCACCCTCACTTTCCATATAACACCATCACATTCGGCGGCATGACGCCCTCGCGGCCTGCGACGGCAGCCAGAGACAAGCCTGCAAAGAGACAACCGCTCTTCAAGCTTGCGCCGATCCAGTAAAGAAGCGCGTTTCGCCCATTGACGTTTGCTTCCACTACGATGGTCTTAAAACACCCCCAATGCAAACCAGATAGCAGAAAGACCCACTCAAATGAACGGGGGTTCGGCCGCTGCTCTTTGTTTTGGGAAGTCCAGCCTATTGCCACTGCCAACCATGCCAGAGCCGGACTGGCATAGTGTGTGTAGAAGGACATGGCAGCCTTAATTCACACGCGGCTGCAATTGAAGAGCACTTTCGGAGGGGCACCTCTTTCGGGTGCAAAAGAGAACCAAAAGGTTCAACCACCACTTTGGAAAGCGAACCAAAAGAGAAAACCACGACTTTGGGAGATCTGGGGAATCCATGCCATGCTTCACGTCACATTTGACAGCGTCGATCTGGGTGTCGCGCGAAGACTCCACAGAAGACAAGCCATGGCGCAAGGACATTGATGATGATGGATGCCTGAGACACAAGGAATCCTCCAAGGTGGATTCTTCCAGCCATGGGGATGGTTGCGAAATCCAGAATTCGCACCACCCAAATGAAACCATGGGAATGAAACCATACCGCTTGTTATTCCAGGGGAATCATACCATTCCAAGCATTCTGAATGGTGGTGCGATTTCTGGATTCGCAACCATCCAAGGTTCCTGGGGAACCCAGTTGCTTGCTTCTCAGAAAGGCCGACCATTTGACAGGTCCAATTCCTATTGACACCTTTCCATGGCGCGCATCCGAAACCAAATGCTGGCACCGAGTCCCCTGGAGGTTGGGCATCTCAAAGGTCGAGCTACATCCATGCAGGAGAAAAACAAAACTTGGGATGAACCACCAGCACTTGTAGCTGGTGGTGGTCACCTTGCGCCGCCTTTTTATGGGGGATCCAAAACAGGCCCGGTTTTTCGAGCACCCCCCAGGTGTGTGTAATACTGTGGGTGGACAAAATCCATTTCGCACCACTTGGAAACCATCGTTGAAACCATTGTCTGATGGTATTTACAAGGGAATCGTATCATGCCAGGGATTCTTAGGTGGTGCGAATGGATTTGGTCCACCCACAGTATCTGGGGTTCCAGGCTGCATTCAGGCGCTTGCGCTTGCCGTGGGAGAAGCTGCTGTCGTGGTCCATGTGGGGCATGCCGCTCTGGGCGTCAGTCCCATGTGAGTCTTTCTTAGAAGGGGTCCCTTTGTTGGATAGCTTGGGGAAACCAACTGCAAACCATCTGGGGTCCCTAATCTTGAGAATGTCAGTGCATTCAAGAAGTGCATTGCATCCATTCTGGCAATGATCAGAAACTTCCACACTTTGGATACTCTCAACCGGTGCCAATATACGTGTATATATATATAGTATACCTATTCCTCAATCTGGCTCAGCCGTTGTCCGTTTCTGGTCAGGATATCATAGCGAAGAGGCTTGGGCAGCTGCTCAGTTGCAACTGAGTCCTCTGAGATTGGGGTCTAGGACTGTGACAAGAAAGAAGCCGTTGCCCCATTGAACATTCCAACCCTTTTCTGGTCTTTTGGATTCATCGCAGCCTAAAATGGAGAGAGTTGCCTGACTCTCAAAGAAATGGGTTGGGGATTAAAAAACAACACATGCCCTTATGCAGCGCTTCTCCAAGATCGACAGCTCTTGGCATTGCAAAAAAAATCGGCCGCCCTGGCCCATTAAAATTGGGGCGGGGCCGATGGCTTCGAATGCCGGGGCCTGGCCCTGCCGGGAGTAGGCACCTCAGTGGATGGCGCGAGTGCATGGGTGGCCACAGGAAACGAACCGGGGAATCGAAAATTTCATGCCAGGGGTTCCGAGACTTTCCAAAAGGCTTCAAACAATTTCAGACCGTCCATCTAGGCCAAGAGACCTTTGAATGAAGAGGCATGCAAGTGAAATGCAAGACATGCGAGATCCTTGATTGACCCTGTTGGTTGTTGCAAGCAGTTGCCAAATTCACAGCAACCCCAGCGACAGCTTTGGGAGTTCGAGATGTGCTTCTCGCTCATGGGAGATCAAGTCACACATCCAATCCCTCGGCATTTTTGTTGCCCCCCGTGAAACGCGTGAAACGCCAAACTTCTCATGATTAGAGTTGGGCCCAGTTGCAGAATCTATATTTTAGCCTTTGCTTCACTTTGAGTCACTGGTAAAATGGTAAAATGTATCCTAAGTCTACCCCAGCTCTGAGCTGCCGGCCCTGGAAGGTGCTGTAGGGCTTCGACATGACTTCGACTTCGTTGAGCTGGAGCCACGAGGCTGCCGGGAGCGGTCGATGCGGGCGAGTGCATGCGAGCGGTCGGACCTGAGCCACTTGCTCAAAGCCCGGCACTAAAATGGTCTACCCAGAGCCATGTAAAGGATTAAAAAGGCGGAGGTCCGCGGCAATTTATGGTTGGGATCGTCCTGAAAGCTTCATCTACCCGGGTTTTGAGCACGTGGCTCACGTTGCGCTTTGAGCCCATTGACATTGACCTGCCAAACAACGTAACATCCGGCATGATACGATTTGCAAACCCCCTATCCCAGACAAACCTGTGCATCGTTCTGCCTCAGCCTGCTCAACAAACGCACCAACCTCTCCATGGGTCCCAGGGTGTCAATCTCTGTCAAACCTCTCCAAGAAATGAATGCATTGATGGGGTGTGGCTCATTTTCTGGGGCATCTCGGGATTTCCCAAAATGACTTGCGCTAGTGATAGAAAGGTAGACCAAAACCCGCGGTCCCCTCTCACATTTGGCAGCTGCAAGCTTCTCGGTTCTGTTTGCATGTGCCAAGGTTAAGCAGCCCCAATCTGGAAAATTGAGGGGGCTTCATGCGCGGCAAGCCTCGCGTGATTGGGTGGCCTTGCCAAAACTGCTTAAAAGTTGCCACGAAATGTTGCCTCAAAGGCGGTCAATGCACTTCAGGTCCTCCATGCATTGCACCAGTCGGTCTGCCATCACCTCCTCGCCTGCTCGCAGGGACATGCGAGGGTCGTAGTACTTCTTGTTGGGCTTCTCGGGCCCCTCCGGGTTGCCGATCTGGGCCTGCAGGTAGTCCTTGTTCTTCTTCTGGTACTGGTTCATGCCATCCCAGAAGGCCCACTGGGTGTCGGTGTCAATGTTCATCTTCACCACGCCCGCCTCAATGGCATAGCGGATGTCCTCCAGCGAGGAGCCGGAACCGCCGTGGAAGACAAAGGACATGGGCTTGTCGCTCTCGCAGCCCAGCTTCTCCTTCACGTACTTCTGAGTGTTGTGCAGGATCACTGGCTTCAGGTCCACGTTGCCCGGGGCATAAACCCCGTGCACGTTGCCGAAGGCAGCTGCCACTGTGAAGTTGCCGTTGGGCACGGAGGAGAGTTCCTCGTAGACCTGCCAAACCTCCTCAGGCTGCGTGTAGAGACGGGAAGAGTCCACATCTGTGTTGTCCACGCCATCCTCCTCGCCGCCAGTCACACCCAACTCCATCTCCAGCAGTATGTCGATCTTGGCCATTCGCTCCAAGTACTTCTTGCAAATGGCAATGTTCTCCTCCAAAGGCTCCTCCGACAGGTCCAGCATGTGGGACGAGAAGAGGGGCTCGCCATGCAGCTTGAAGTACTCCTCGTTTGCCTCCATGAGGCCATCGAACCATGGCAGCCAGGCCTTCTGGCAGTGGTCCGTGTGGAGGATCACAGGCACGCCGTAGAGCTTGGCCACCTGTCGCACGTGGAGAGCTGCCGCCACGGTGCCCGCAATGCAGGCCGCATCGTCGGTGTTGTCCGCAGCTTTGCCGGCAATGAACTGGCCACCGCCGCGGGACAAGGTCACCATGACGGTGCCCTTGGCCTTCTTTGCCGCCTCCATGCAGGCGTTGATGGAGCTGCTGCTCACGCAGTTCACGCCAGGGATGGCGAACTCATTCTCCTTGGCATAGTTCAGCAGGTCCACCAGCGCCTTGCCCGTGACCACTCCTGGCTTCACGGACGCCGGCATCTTTGCGAAGGCCTTCTCCGTCTTCTCTGCGGTGGCCGTCGCCTGACGGACCACCTGGCGCCGCACGGCGCGCTTGCTCTGCGCGGTCGCCGCTGCCACGCCAGCAACGCCAAGCGCCAGCGCCCCTGCAGCGGCGCAGGAGGAGGAAGTGGCCGCCTCAGCCGGCTGCTGGCGAAGGTGCCGCACCTGCTGTTCCCGGCTCAGCTGCGGTGCAGATGGAGTCAGGAAGGCCTGGGCAGCCGCATAGGCACCAGCGCTGGCAAGAGCCACCGAGCACGCCTTGGAAGGCATGGCAACTACAACCTGAGGGCAACAGATCTCGCCTGGAGCCGCAATGCTACATGGTTGCAGCTTCCCGTGCAGGTTCGTCCCAAAGCTGTTTAGCTTTCTGCGCCCGTTCTGCTGCATCCTTGGTCGTGAGGCATTAGGCTAGGCTTAAAGGTTGATGCAGGGTTGCAACAGGGTTCCATTCCAGATAGGTCAAGCGCTGGCATAGGTTGGCTCAGAGAGAAAGGGAGTGAATGCCATTCACTCACTGTCAACCACCTGTTAGCTCTTGGAACCGCATGCCAAGCAAACCAACGGGTTAATGAGTGGGTATGTGAGAGCGCTTCGTCAGGGCCATCTCTTGCCCTCGCCTATGGCTGTGGGTCAAAATCAATGGTACCATTTTGGAGTAGGCGCACCACCCATTTAGTCTACTTTAGTGGGGATTGGGATGTTCACTGGGCGTACGGGATTTTGACCCATGGCCATATTGGTAAGGAGATCCGTTAGATCAGCACTCTTTCAGTACACCATCTGGCATAGGATTCTTGGTCCCTCGCCTCACATCCGCTCTTGTTGGAACTCTGGGGATTGGAAGGTAATGGACACATGCGACCAAATGAGGGAAGAAGTCCAAGGAACCCGTTCTCCTCACTCCGCTTCCCGCATCACGCTAGTGCGGCACGGATTTCTTGGCGCCTTGTGGGCTTGCACTGCGTGTTTGCTTCTGATTGATTCTGCCGCCATGTGAGCGCTGGCTGAACTCAAAGAGCGGCCGGGGAGATCTAAATGGCAAATATTTTCCCTTGGTGGAGTTTTACACGCTTCCCTTCTCCTGCTGGAGCATGAAGCTGTGCAAAACGCCACGTGTCGCCCATCAAAATTAGTCAGTACCGCCTGCTCAAAGGAGCCAGGGGAGCCACCAAGAAAAAAGTTCAGGGGGTCTATTGGCAGGTCGCACAACTCCTGGTCCTTTTCTCTCCTCATAACTTTCACCGCTCGGCGTCGAAGGCCATCCCCGCGGGCCGCTTCGTGCCCGTGCGCTCCGCGAACTTCACCGTGAAGCGCCCCTCCTGCAGCGCGGCCAGGGCCTGCTCCGCGTCGTTCAGGGCCTCGAAGCGCGCGAAGCCGCAGGGCGTGGCGTTGAACTTCCGGAGGATCTTCACCTGGCCATGGGTCAAAATCCAAAGCCCGGTTAGCCCCCAGTGACCTTCCCAATCCAACCACTAAAATAGGTTCTAAAATGGGTGGTGAATTCACCGAAACCCCCAAAATGGGATCCCAAAACGGTTTTGACAACCACAGCCACCTGGCAAAATGTGAGTCAAAATCAAAACCTCTACCCAGAACCACCTGCCGAATGGCGACGTCAGAATCAAAACCCGGAATACTCAAATGGTCGATCCCCAGAACCATCCCTTTGTTTTCCACACAGACAAAAACCAGTGCCACCGGTTCCCTCTAAAAGCCACAATGACTTCGAGTGAACTTTAGCTCCGCTTCTTGATTTCCAGCATTTTTGGGGGGCACCCTTTTTCTCTTCCACTAACCAGGCAACATATTTTTGCTGTCCGAATTCCAGTCAAGTCACCTGAGCCACAATCAAAACCCGGGTACTAGTAGATGAAGGTTAGTAAGGATACTCCCAACCATAAATCGCCGCGGACATCCGCCTTCCTAATTGTTGAAGCCTCCCTTCCAAAAAAAAACATCGAAAACTGGAGGTGATTCTGAGGAAGATGAAAGGGTGCCCTCGAAATCATTCTGCTTTTAAAGGGAACCAACAGGACACACATCGGGAGCTGCGCTGGTCTGGTTCAAAATGAAGGACCGGAGATGCAGACTCTGATCATGTTGTTCTGTTCCAACTGGCGGTAGGTGTCTGGACCCCAAAAGGCATGCTTTGTAAATGGAAAAGCCAACAGGACCTATTTCGGTGTCTCTTTGTCTTAGGATAGTGGGTTCTTCCTTCCGCCGCCTGTTGGGGGGAAGTCCCCTCCGAAAAGAACAAAACAATGCAAATGGTCATGCCTCGGCCACGCGCCCGAAGGGTGCCATCATGCCCCAGAGGAAGTCCTCGTTGGCCTCGGAAGGGATACCGGATACCCGGGCCCTTGCTTTTTTCCCCCAACATGGCGCGATGGCTTTCGATTTTGTCCATGTCGGTTTCCCTTGAAAACCACCCAAAAAGGACACCCCCCTTCTTTCATGGGGTCCTTTTTCCGTGTGGCTTCCCTTGAAAACCAACCAAAAAGGAGGCTCCCGCTCAAAAACACGACAAAACACCACCTTTGCTTAAGGGGTCGTCCCTTGGTGTTAGCTCTGCGACGTGAGCGACGCGTCCCGCGGAGGCCTCCTCGGGCAAGCCACCGATGAAGAGCTTCTGGCCCACTCCACCGCCCATGGGCCGCGGGTCCTCGCTACTCTTCCGCTCCTGGCAACTTTGGGTCCGACGGGGGGTCACTTCTTGCGCCAAGAATCTGTCTTTTCCAAAGGTGTCACCGGATAGTGGTGTACATTGTTCAAAGGGGTCACTGGATTTTCTGCCTCTTTTGACAATGGTCATGGGAGTTCCCCGAATTCGAAGTTGATCATTTGGCGGTGGTTCCCTCGAAACGATCGATCCACTTCTGATGGATCAAGAAACGGAAAGTGAGGGACCCCTGCGAGTTGGGTGGCTGGGCCTGCCGTTCTCGAGGCGAGAAGCAAACCCTCCCGTCGTTGGCATGGAAGCCGCTGCTAGGGTGTTTATGGTCTGTCCAAGACCCAGTCAGGTTCCAGGTTTGACAGAAGGTGACCCTTTCTGGGCTTGAGACCGAAAGGAAACCCTCGGCCAACTTGAGTCCAATTCTCTACTTTGACCAGCACCCTCCTCAAAAGCGGAGGGGGCAGGTTGCACACGCTTCATGGGCACGGGGATTTGCTGCACCACGGGCATAGCTGGTCGCCGGTCAAAGCGCTCAAAGCGGACGGGTGCTGCCACAAGTGGAATGGCAGGGGCTTTCGCGCTCTTCGCCAAGTCCGCCATCTTTGCCACAAGGATCTTTCCCTCTGCGGCAATGGCATGCGACTGGTCGTGCAAGCTCTGGATGCAGCGCTCGGCCTCCGTGAAGGACGCAAAGGTCACAAAGGCGCAGGGCAAAGACTTGTCGTTCTTCGTAAAGATCTTGCAATGCGTGACGCCCCCAAATTGCTCACAGGTCCTGTACATATCCTCCTGGGTGATCATAGGCCCGATGCCACCTATGAACACCTTAGGCTCCTGGGGCGTACCCTTTGCCGCACCCTTCATGTCGGCCAGCTTGATGTTGAGCCCCTCCTGTGTCGGCAAGTCGCGGAGCCCCCAAATGGGTTTCGGGTGTCCCTCGGGTGTCCCGTGAACACAACAAGGGGCCACACACACACACACACACACACAAACAACAAAACTGGACAAATGGGTTTGACCTTTTTCTGTTTAGGGGACCCCCCCCCAAAAAAAAAGGTGGTCTTCCTGTTGTCCCTTTTGTCCCCCACCCCCCAAAAAGGGGGTGACCACCAAAACAAAAAAACAGACACACACACACACACACACACACACACACACACACACACACACACACACACACACACACACACACGCACGCACGCACGCACGCACACACACACACACACGAAAACCCCCCCTCCCCAACCAACCAACACCGCGCGCGCGCGAGCACTCCTCGCCCTGGCGCAGCTGCGTGCCATTCAGCTCCGCGATCACGGCCTCCGCCTGCGCCCAGCGGTCGAAGGAGGCGAAGGCGCAGTTCTTGCCGTCCAGGAGACGCACGGAGTGGGCGCCGTAGGGCTTCACCAAGTCCTCGACCTCCTCGAAATCGGCTGAACCCTTCTCTTTGTTTCTTTTATTTTGGAAAAACTCCCTTTGTTTGGCGGGCCTTGGGCAAGGGAAAAACATGTGCCGTGGTCAAAAGACCGATTCCCTTTACTTGGGGTTAATTGGGATGCTCATCCACCTGAAGGATCCATAATTACCACGGTTAATTTTTCCTTAAAGGAGTGCCAAGGGCTGTTGGTCTGGCCAACGATGGACCCCAATCGACCAGGGAACCAAAAGAAGACCCCAAACGCCACCGATTCCGACTTGGACCTTGGACGCTCTCCTGCAGCTGCGTCCCTGCGGGCAGTCGCCCGATGAAGAGCTCGGGCAAGGGCGCGGGCTGAGCCTCGCCCCGCGGTGATGGGAGACCCGCCGTCCCCATCGTCCCGATGGCGGAGCGCGCGCCGATGGTGCCGATGGTGCCGATGGTGCCGATGGGCGTGCGCACCGGCGCGGCGGGGGCGACGGGTGGCGCTCCGGGCGACTTGTTGGCAGCCGGCCTCAAACGTGCAAAGGGCTGAAGAATCCAAGCGGAACCAGAATATGGGTGTGTTTCCTTTTTAGGGGACCCTCCCCCTGGTGGTTTCTTTGGGTTTCCCTTTAATTAAACCCCAAAAACCAGGTATCCTTGACAAAGAAGACACGCCCAACCACATGCTGCAGTCTGATTCATTCGAGCAATCGCACAATTAAGGAGCCAGCTTCACATTGAGCCCAGGGCCATTTCCTGGCAGCGAAAACGCCACTCCAAGCCAGCAGCAGCACTCACTCACAAGCCATCCAAAGGCTGCTCACTTCAATCTTAACACCCGGAGCCGGGCTAGAGTTCACCATATTTCAAAGGTGTCGGAAGGTAGGGCTCAAACTCAGGTGACGTTGAACAACTCAAATCATGATCCTCACATAACTATATGGGTCAAAAATAACGTACCCCCAGTGAACATCCCAACCCCCACTAAAAAAGACTAATATGGGTGGTGCACCTACCCCAAAATGGGATACCATTGGTTTTGACAACCACAGCCACATCGCAGCTGGTCTCGGGATTTCCTGCCCGCCAGCTCTGACTGAGCTCCTGGCCCATTTGGAAGCCATTCAGATCCGCGATGGCCCGCTCCGCCTCGAAGACTGAGGCGAAGTTGGCGAAGCTGCCGCGGGGAAATCGGCCAGTCCGGTCACCACTCAGACGCCAACTTGGAGCCGGGCGCGTCTTTGCTCGGGGGTTGATTTACTTTGGGATCCCCCCGATTTTGACGCACAAAGAGACGCTGGAAGGGCAACCAAAACACTCATCTTTGGGGGAGGTGCGCTATTTGCAGGTGTCGCTTCACTTCTCAATACTTGCAGCACTGGTTCGTTCACGCCAACTAGCTAAAGGATGGTGCCTGCATAAAGTACACATGCCAAGAGCTCAAGTCTGTGGCATACGGTTACCCAAACGTTGGCTACGTCTACTCCATGCATGGCAAGCATGGCGTAGCCGCATGCCACCAAATCACAGAGGCACCGAGGGTGAGCCAAATACTAAAGCAAACGCTGACCGGCTAAAACGCGCCAGCTCCACGCGCAGAATTTCCCATCCAACATGCGTACATTTTGCGCACCATAGGGTGCCTCAGCCACCACGGCTGCCTCATTCAGTTGTCGCTGCTACCAAGCATGTGTACAGCAAACAAAGTATGATCATGGATTTGGTCTGGCTCAAGCTGGGGCGTGAGAAGCAAGCGGATCTCTTTCCAGTGTTCAACATGAAACCGCCTTTCGGCCTCACTTTTGGCGCGAAGGACTCGCTGAGGCGAGCGCGAAAATGTCGGAAATCTCACGGAGGCCTGGAGGTGAGATAAGGCACAGGAGGCACGGGAAAAAATCGGGCTCGTCCTCTGGTCTTTGTGGGAGGAATTTGCTAAGTCCACCATGTTCCTCCCAAATGGACAACAAACGACCAGGAATCTTGCCCGAACCATGTGAATTTCAATGACCCACAAAAACGGTTGGTGGACCACTTTATCCCTACCGAATTCTGATGTCCAGAATTTGAGTGTGTCTGTCTCTAGGACCCCCCCCCCCCGCCAAGAAGAAAAAATGCAAATTTGTTTCTGTGTTTGCGTAAGGGCACACTCGACTCCTCGACGAATTTTGGCTCAAGAAAAAGGCTTGCTGTTTAGGGCAGGTCTGAACCCCCTTTTTTAGGTTAGTGATTCAAAGGTTATGAGCCCAAAGAACTAGCCAGCGCCCATGGACTTGCTCCGACGAAGGCGTCGCAATGAAGGAGCTCCTGGGGATGATGGAACTCAGGGAGGTCTTCAGGACGGAGGACACCGAGAAGGGCGAGATCTCATGGTGAGGCCTGGGGAGAATGCTGACCAGGCCTTGGACCGCATGATTGTGGAGGACTTGAGAAGCGGAGCCTTGCGGCGATCCAGGTCAGCGCCGATGCGAGCCGGACTCAGACGGCTAACGGACGGTGCTGAAGGATCAGGAGGCGGGGCGAGCTCGGGTCTTCCTGCTCATGTGCTTCCTCTCCCGGGACTTCCTCCAGGAGCTGATCGGAGAGGCCAAGGGGATGAAGGACGGCAACCGGGTGAGGGCGTTCTTCAGCAAGGTCTTCCTCTGGTTGAAGTACGGCGACCTGGACAAGGAGATCATGGACCGCTCGAAGGAGAAGGACGCAGAGAAGTATATGGGCCACTGAGGCCTATCACTCTGTGGCCGGGAGATGAACATGGTCCAAATCAGGGGCAGCAGCGCATCGGCTGGAATGGACAGGGAGCTCAACAAGATGGCGGACCTGGTGCTGTTGGAGGTTGGCAATGGGTACCTCATACGGCAGACCCGCGAGGCCATGGTTGGGAACATCGCGGAGGGCAAGAAATCCCGACGCAGCAACTCCCGCAGGTGAACCCGTTTTGGAGCCCAGAGGTTCAAAGGAGGGCAGCGGCTGCTGCGATGCATGGTGCTGAAGGCCATGGTGATCAACAAGGTGCCGCTTCGGCATCCCCGCCGCGGCCGGAACCTGGTTCTCAGGGAAGAGTTCCACAAGCCGCTGATGTGGATGGCCTTCGGAAGCGGATCATGAGAGAGGCGGAGGAGGCGTTTCAGGCGGAGCTGAGCAGGTTGAGCCTGGCCGGAGGAAGCCACAGTGACGAGGCTTCTTATCGTACGGCCTGGAGCGAGGCTGTCCCACCGCCACCGCCGCCACCACCGCCAAGGACGCCACCGCCGGATGAGGGCGCGGTGCGAAATGCTGCGAACATGTCGGAGGCCCTGAGGAACTTAGAGCTCCCGGCACTTCCTGTTGCGGGTGGGGACATGGCCTCGCTGCACTTCGGCGACTGGGTAACGGTGGTCACCCCCTTGATGTCAGACATCGCGGGATCAGCCAGGATGTGGTGGGCCAAGGTCTTGGAACAGGCCGAGCGAGCCTACGCGAAGTGGCTCACTGCGACCCCCTTGGAGAAGATCCGGCTTCAACCTGATCAAGATCTAGGAGCGGAACACAACTTCAGGGTGGAGCAGAGAGGCATCTCCATGCTTCTGGCGGCCGTGCCGGATGGCATCCGCCGGGATATTATCTCATCGAGGCGGATGTCATCGATCAATGTGATGTTCCGCCTCTATCAGATATATCAGCCTGGTGGCCAGTCAGAGCGCGGGACCCTTTTGAGGAACCTAGCGGACACCAAGGTCGGAACCAGCAACGCGGAGGCTCTTCAGACGCTGCGGCAGTGGCGCCGATGGTTGAGCCGGTCGGAGGAGCTGAACCTCGCCTTGCCAGACGGGCTGGTCCTTATGGCGGTGCTCAACAAGGTGGGTGAGGTTATCTGCAGAGGGAATGGCCAGGTGGGCTTCCGCATCGCGTCCATTCGTCAGGAATTGATGGTGGATGTGCTGCCGGAGCTGGATAACATCAAGCTCTATGCGGAGTTCTTGCAGGCGGAGTCGGAGGAGCTGGCTTTGGCCACGTCGGGGAAGGCGCAGGCGGCAACACCGGCACCAGCTGCACCCAATGCGGGGAACCCGGTGATCAAGGCCGTCGCAGACTACAAACCGGCAGAAGGAACTCCGGGGGGCTGGGACAGGAAGAAGGCCCCGGGCGCGACGTGCCGCTTCTGGGGCACGGATGGAGGCTGCCGAAAAGGCAACGGGTGCGGCTATGTGCACTCGTGGGACGGCATCGTGAAGACGAACCGTTGCTTCCTATGCTCGGGGGTTGGTCATGCGAAAAAGGATTGTCCCGTGAAGAAGGACAAAGAGCCAGCTGCCCCCAAGGTAGCGGTGTCAAGAATGGTAAAGGGAAGGGAGGAAGACGGGAAGAAGGGTGGAGAGGTGGCCAAGGAGGCACAGACCTACATCCCGGAGCCCCCCAAGGAAGTTGTCAAGGGAGGAGAAAAGGCCCCAGGAACCACGGCGAAGCCGACGGCTAGCGGAAGTGGAGCGGCGGGTTCGGGGGAGGACTTGCTGAAGGAAGTGACGGGCCTCCTCAAGACGATGAGAGCGGCCAAGTTCAGGGTCAAGCAGATCAGCCAGCCAGAGCCTGATGCAGGACAGGAGTTGGCCCTGCTTGACGGTGGAGCCACGCATCCCCTTCGCCAAGCACGCCCTTTAGAGATGGCGGGACTGGTGGAATGCGAGGTGGAACTAGCCTGCGGGACGGCGGTGATGTTCAGACATAAGGACACCATTGCCCTGCTGACGAAGGAACCGGTGGAGCCGATCGTGCCGCTGAGGACGTTGGTGGAGGCGGGCTTCGTCATCAACTGGACGGCTAAGGGATGTCGGATCGAACATCACCAGCTGGGGAGACTGGATTGCTGGCTGAGGTCTGGCTGTCCGGTGATGGAGAGGAAAGCAGCTATGAAGCTCCTGGACTTCCTGGACTCTGCCGGGGCATCGGAGTGGGTCACGGACGATGAGGAGTGGTGGAGTTCAAGGTTTCCGGAGCTGCCGAAGAGCGTGATCGCCTACATGACGCGGGTCCTGGACGAGGGCGAGGCGAGCAACCGGTGCCCTTTTAATAGGCGGCTTCGACGACGGTGGGAGTCGGGCAAGGGCGTGGTGGTCCACCTCTTCTCCGGAAAGGACGGGAGGCAATGGAGAAAGACCGGCCTGGAGGGGTTCGAGGTGATCACGGTGGACGTGCAGGAGGACTCGAGGCAAGACCTACATAACCCCGCGCTGTGGGCCTATTTGTGGCGGCTCGCGGAGAAGGGCCTGATCAGAGCGGTGATAGGAGGACCTCCCTGTCGCACTGTGTCGAGAATGAGGCACATCCAACCAGGGCCTCCTCCGCTTCGAGGTCGGGGGGAGCTTCGACACGGTCTACCTGGCCTCAGCGTGGAGAATCAGCAGAAGGTTGATGGGGACACGGCGCTCTTCTTTAAGCAGATGGGCCTATGGCTGAGGGCGGCGGAAAACAAGCCGAACTGGATGCCGAACCCGGGATATTTGCAGGAGAATCCCATGGACCCCGCCAGGTACATGGATGAAGAGGCTGCTGGGGCTATGCCCTCTTTCTGGGAGTTCCCGGAGGTGAGAGAATTTGCCGGCCGAGCGGGAATGGCGATGGTGAACCTGGACCAAGGACCATATGGCCATGCGCGGAGAAAGCCGACAACCCTTCTTACGAACCTCCCCGAGATGGAGACTCTGGAGAATGGGAAGGGTGGCGGCCACGAAGAGCTTTCTGGAGAATTGCAGGGACGCCTTCGACAATCGCGAGAGTGGGCGGCATGGGCTCCGGGAGTGGTGGCGGCCGTCAAGGCTTCATTGATGGTCTACCTGCGGAACTTGAACCTGATGGACCACATGAAGGTTAAGAAGGCCATGAACCTGGATCAGTGGAAGGAACATGTTCGCCGAGGACATTGCCCTTTCGATAGAAGATGCAGAATGTGCCTTCAAGAGGCCGGGGTGGATCGTCCTCACCGAAGGTTGAAAGCGGCGGTATCGGCCTACGTGCTCAGCGTGGACATCACGGGCCCGTTCGTGGTGGGGAACGACGTGGGCACGAACCGGAAGGTGAAGTATGCCTTGGTGGCTACTGTGGCCGTTCCGGTTAAGGAAGAGGAAGAAGCCCTGCAAGGAGAAGACCGGCAAGAAGGTCTCGATGAGGACAGCGAAGGAGGCGATCGGGCTGGGGAAGAAGCCCAAGCAGAAGAAGAGATAGACCTCGAGGAGCTGGAATGCGAAGACCAGGAGCCGAGGGTCAGCGATGAGGTGGCGGAGAAGGTCAACGCCAAGGTCAAAGATGAGATGAAGGATGCTCTCCGTGGGTACCAGGTGCAGAACGTTACGGCCGTGGAGGTCCTGGAATCCCGAACGGCGAAGGATGTGCTGCTCGCCCTGGGCCTCCTGTTTTCGAAGTACAGGAGCATGGGAATCCCGCTCTACCGCATGCACTGCGACAGAGCCAAGGAGTTCCTCTCGATGCCCGTCAGTGGTGTGCGGAGCGCAATATGATTCTCACGCTCACGGGAGGGGATGACCATGCCGCCAATGGCAGAGTGGAAAGTGAAATAGGCCAGCTGAAGCGGAGGCTGAGAGTGACCCTCAAATCAACAGGGGCGCCCCTATGTCTGTGGCCGACG